TGGTCCATTTTTTTTTTTTTTTTTACAAACATCCATTACCCTTGAGTAATAGAAACACAATAATACATGTTCTCTCTCTCTCAATGAATATTAAAATGATAACAATACATGCCAATCTCCTACTGAGAAGCCACAAATAAATAAATACAAATACAAAATCCACATCCTTTACATCTACTATGAAGTTACACAAAGAGACTCAAGAACTCCATAAATCTTCAATCAAAGAATCCAAACTTTCTTCCTGTAAAAAGATAAAACAACAACAGGGTGAGAACTAATGCCCAGTAGGAATCTCATAGTTCTAAATCAATAGCCAACACACAGATAGAAATGATCATGCATGCAGGGTGATACCATATAGTAGGGTGACATTTTATAATTTCAAAATATCATGAGTAAAGTACCCTTTTTCTCAAAAATTGTTTAAACACTTTTAAGAAAAACCTTCAGCCTTTAAAAATCATCCCTTAACTTTAGAAAACCATAGATCCTTGTGAATCAACCATAGTTAAGAAACAACATCATTTAAAAGTTATTAAGCAATTCCCCAAAATATTTCTCATTCAGTTTCCATTTTTAATATTCCTCTTCTTTTTCTTTTTTTCTTTTTTTTTTTATCTTATTCTTCCTTTCTACTCATTATATTTATCTAGAACTCCATAACTTCAAGTTCAAGTTCAAGTTCAAGTTCCCTTTTTGATTCACTAACAATTCTCCTATACTCAATTCACACCATTGTTAAAATTCTAGATTCATCCCTGTTAGTATTTTTTGAAATAATATTAATGATTACTTTATTGGTGCTGATAGAAGACAACACAATTAACCCCAGTTGGAACGGTCGAAAAATAATGGTAGCATTTCATTTTCCCCAAGAAATGGACAGATGTGGAGTATATGAGAAAAGAAATGTTGGAGATCCATAATTTAAGATTGGGCAAAATTCAGTTAACCCTTGGTTTAAGGCCGAAACTTTACCCCTATTGTTCAAAAATAGGCAGACAATCCTTTTTAAGATTTTGGATTAAATTGCAACTCTAACACCATTAAAAAATAATGTAAAATTAGCTTGATACCCCTTTGTCCTTCTACCTAATTTTTGCTTCTCTTATTTTATTTCCCTTTCTTTCTCTCTTCTGCACATAATCTCTAACTTAAGCAACAATAATTTTTCATAAAAAATAACATTAATTCAATTAAATTACATAATAACCACCCATCAAAAGGGAAAAATAAAATAAAAAAACCCTCTAATTATTTATTTGATCTCTAACTTTTTAAACTAATTTTCATTTAATTATATTTTGCACAAAAACAGATACATATATATACATGCATACGCAATATATATGGGAATTTTTTTTTAAGGTACATGATATTAAGATTTTATAAGTTAAATGGCATACAATATTTTCATAATAGTTAAAGTCCCTCAACATTTTTACAGAGACAATTTGACTTCTCTATGAAATCAGAGAAATTTCTCTAAGTTGGGGCCGAAATTTCTCTAAATCTGGCAAAATTTCTCTAGGTCGGGCAAAATTTCTCCGAGTCGAATTTTTTCTGTGAAAATGTTGAAAGACCTTGGCTAATAGAAAAAAGTATCTTGGACGTCTCTTACTACACAAAATTGAAGATGAATGTTTTACTAATTTTCCCTATATATATGTATATATACATAGGCTATAATAATGGAAAGAGAAAAGCGGTTGGTAGCTGATAGATATAAGAGAAACAAAATTAGATAAAATAAATTAAAATGAGAAAGATGAAATTACAAATTTTACTCTTCTTTGTTTTCTGTTCTCTATTCTTTATTCTCAGTCTTTTCCCAAATAAAAGCAGATACATATATGTATATATATACCTATACAATATATATACACATTGTATATCTTGTAAAATGAAATCAAAGAATCATTTGGATTAATCAAAATCATGTAATCATCCAATGTAATCATGAAATAAACTTAACATAAAAATTCAATTTTTTTGGATCAAAGCCTCGCAAAATGATGGATAGACTAACGCTATGAAATCCCATATTTTTGAG